GGTGATAGTATATTTAATGCTTCTCAAAAAAACTCTAATCCTATCCTTATTACAAAGGGAAAAAGGAAAAAAGAAAAGAAAGCAGCCACAAAAAGACAGAAGAACTATTTAAAAGATGAAAGGAAGAAAGGACTAAATTATAATTAATTTACAGACTTTTAAATTTTGTGGAATTGTTCACCCACACTATTGCAAGATTACCAGAGTAACAATGACAGAGAAAAAACACGTATATACAAGTTAGACACATACAAAAGTCGTACAGAGAAGTCCTAATTATTCAGCCTTAATACTGTGTTCTGAAGCTGTTCTATAAATAAAAAACAATGAAAACAAAAAGCAAAACATCAGACCTCTTAAACTTTATAAAACAGAGAAATAAGACCTGTACAATTGTTATATATCAAAATTATCTCCTAAACCCAAGAGAATTTTCGAGGCCATAGGCTCTGAGCAACATGATCTAGTTGAAGACGTCCCTGCTTACTGCAGGGGGGTTGGACTAGATGACCTTAAAAGGTCCCTTCCAACCCAAAGATTGTATGATAGACTCTAAAGCTGTAACATGGTCCTTAAAATAGGACTTGATTTTTAAGTAATAAGTAAATAGGACTCTATCTGCATTTTTTGGTTGCACACTGTTTAGTAACACACATGCAAAACTTTAAATCTCGAAAAGGCGATTTTACAGCCAAATTTTCTTTATCATTCTTCTCACACAGATTCAATCACTGACACTAACAGCTACATTAATCATTCTTAACTTTACTTCCCAAGAGCAGCTGCCCTCATGGTGCAATCTACTAAAACAGCTCTTGACCTATTTGTTCCCACCACCTTCCCTGATGTTTGCTGCTGTAACAGCTCACCTGGGACAACATATTCTGTCTTCTACAATATCTAATCGCCAAACTTTACAGTTTTTACAAGACTAATGCAGAGTGGTATGCTTAATCACAAGAGGGACACCTCATTACCTCGCACATAAGAAAAACAAAAACAGGTTGTATTTTAGATTACTTCTGCTGGACCTGAATGATATGAATGACATTAAAAAAACAAAAGCAGTTTCAATACTGTGCAAGCAAGACTTTAACAAAACAGTATTCAAGTTCTAGACAGGGTCTGGATTTTTAAAATCATTCTTTCTTCACTGCATAGGACAATGATGAAGTCAAAGGTACATTTTAAGTGAAACTTTAAAACCAGGATTACCTTTTAGAAAAATAAATGAGTATGGAAAGATAATAAAACCTATTGTAGAACATGTATCGAAAGAACTGCAATTTTTTAATCCCTAAATGCACCAGTATGGAAGGGGCAATGAAGGAAACTCATCTAATTATATAACAGTTTAGTGAAAATAAACTCTGCTATATATGGAAAACTAATTTTGCTCCCACTAGTCATATTTAGCCTAATGTCCAACAGTAACTCTAATAATACTAAATGGAAGTACTGCACAGGTCTGTTCTAGGAGAACCCCATTACCTTACATTAAAAATTAGAGTATTATAATGTAAGATAAAATGTGACTAGTTTGATACACAGCAGTGTTACAAAATAAATATAAATACACAACATAAACAGCATGTGAATATTTTAACAACGAACAGCTTTAAAAGGCCTTCTTCAAGTTTTCTGAAGTGCAAGATAGATACTACAAACACGAACATGACTGATTTACATCTAAATAAGAAAATTCACCATTCTACCCAGAATTGTGGAAAAAAAGCAGCTGCATTGCATTTAAATGCTGTCCCTACCCCTTCATCAGAAATATGCACTAGAATCCTTGAAGTAATGCAACAGCTAAAGGAAAAAGCACAACTTCCATGTACAACATACTCAATAAGCAAAATTACACAACAGTTTAAGAAAGGAATAAAAAATTATTATAGTAAACAAGCAAAATGCAATGTATTGTAAGTAGAAGCAAGCAAACAGAAAAAGTAACCAAGAAGTGTTATCACATTCTAAAAAAAATTCATCAACAAGTTTTTCAATTCTAGGAAATACCAATTTCAGATTAAGCCCTTGTGTGCAAGTATATGAAAACAGCCGAACTGCATTATGGAGAAAAACTTCTTCTCTCTAAATATATACACAATTCTGAAGACAAGGATTTAAAACAAAGTTTTCCTTACTGGGCTATTTTACTACTTATATAGACAACTGTTTAACAGCAGATTTGCTGCTACCAAAAAAGTGATGTATTTCATACACATTTTAAATTTTGTGAACTAACACGTTTCTAAAAGCAATAGTTGATGTAATCTTACTTAAAGCTTCTTGTTAAGAAGACATTTCCAGACTTCTCAAGTGTGAGAAGTATCTTCAACTTTCTAGAAGTTTAGTTTATTCCAGTAATCTATTTTGATGAACAGACAATATTGGTTCACTGAGTTAATGGCAATACAGTAAAAGTGCTGGAAAAACAGGTAAGTATGATACATGAATTTGAACATCGTGTTTTGTTGAAGTAAAAATCTCAAACAATAAGACAATTCTCCAGTGGAGATACATTCTCCATGTATCATTTCCAATTTTGTAATTCTCCAAAAAGAAATTTCTCCAATGATTACAGTATTCTCCATGCATTTCAAGACTTGAGGAATATATATTAAAAATTCTGACTCATCTTTTAACTGGCTGTCAGCAAAAGGTATGCTCCCTTTTAAAATCAGGTCCTAACTACAGAATCACAGAATCATTAAGGTTGGAAAAGACCTTCAAGATCATCAAGTCCAACCGTTAACCTAACACCACCATACACCCTAAACCATGTCCCAAAGTGCCACATCCACATGGTTTTTGAACACTTCCAGTGATGGTGACTTCACCACCTCCCCGGGCAGCCTGTTCCAACGTTTGACCACTCTCTCTGTAAAGAAATTTTTCCTAATATCTAATCTAAACTTCTCCTGGCGCAACTTGAGGCCATTTCCTCTCGTCCTTAAGAGAAAAATTAAATAATGTATTGTACAAACTACTTAGTGTCAGCTACCAGACCTCATCTTGGTGGAATTTTTTTCATAGAATCATAGAATACCAGGTTGGAAGGGATCTCAAGGATCATCTGGTCCAACCTTTCTTGGAAAAACATGGTCTAGACAAGATGGCCCAGCACCCTGTCCAGCTGAATCGTGGAAGTGTCCAATGTTGTTTCTTTATTTCTTTATTTTTCTTCTTAAAAAAACTCCAAACAAACAAAATCAACTTTGAGGTAGTTACTCCCTTGGTGTCAACTGATATAATTCAAATATAAACAATGCAGCTACAGAGATGTACACTGAGGAAGCTGCCCAGAACTCTGGTGGTTCAACCATTCTCTGCAAAGTCATAATCTTCCAGCATTTACTGACACTAGTTGGTGAAAAAGCACCATGAGAAAAAAAAGTGATCTTTCAGATATATATGTTAAGCTTTTAAATAGATACATGCCACACAAATTTGATACTGATACGATGTCAAACATTTCACAGTGTTTTAAGATGTAATGAATGTATTTCATTTCACTTTTATCTTTAAAAGAAAAATATCATATAGAGAAGCTGAAATCTCCTGATTTTGAAAAACTATAAAATAAAAATATGACCTTAGAATACAGGTCACTTCCCCACACACATTCTTCTAAACTTTAAAATGTCGACTTAGAAAGATCTTGTTTGACTAGTAAAGCCATGTGAAGACAGGGGTACACTTGCATTATGTGTAATGTCATTCCAATTTTTTTCACTTTAGATATTTCAAAAGCCTTTCAATTGTAAGCTGAAATCTCTGCCCTAAGCTGCTCATCATGGTCTTCCAAATAACATGGCTGTGAAATAGGTAACGCATCCAGTGAGTTGCTAAAATTCAGAGAGAAAGTGTCCATCTTACTAGGTGAACATACAATTAAAAATATAACGTAATCCAAGTACAAACTATGCGTAGAGCCTTGACTTCAATAAACGCTTCACATTTGCAAACGGTTCTTTCAACACATGCATTTTTCAGGTACTTCGCTCTGCTGGGAGAGGGAGGTAACGATGGTGGAGGGAGACAACGTGCAGTAGGGTTTAAAAGAACTTTTCACAAATCACAACACGTGAATGAAATCAACTGAACTACATTTCCTGGCAGTAACAGAAGGCTCTTATCCTAGAGAGGATGTGGACAGCACAGCACGTGATGGGATTTCTTTGGCAGCTCATCACCGCAAATGATGAGGAAAACACCACCCACAAATCATGTACCAAAAGGCAGACGTAGACCCAAGCTTTCTGACATTTTTACTACTCACTCTGCTGCTACGGCTGCATGAGCTTGATTTAAACAAGCATTAGTATAAGTAGTATTCTGATACACCTTCCAATTTTTTCTGACAGAAGAAAATGTCCATTCCTAACAGTTCATGTTCCAGTAAAAGATTAAAAGATTTTCTTAGGAGAAAAAGCACTTCTGTCAGCCAGAAGTCCTTTATTTGCCAAATATTAAAGGTTTCAGAACAATGACAATTTGAGAGTTTCTACCAAAGAAAATTTGAAAAACTCTCCTGTCAGAGAAAGAGTGAGTGCAATTAAAGACATGGGATATGGTTGCTGCAGATTTCTAAGTATCAGACGTACTCACGAGCTACATTAGCAATCAAAGAAACAAGTTTCTTTACTATTAGTAACAACAGCTAGGGTGAAACAAAGCTTTCCTGCTTTACCCTTAAAATACTTCTCGTTTTACTCATAAAAATGGGAAATTATTAAAAAAATATTACATGGATACTATGACAATTGATTTGTAAATAGATTATACTCACAACACATGATTAGCTCTAACGAATAACTTGTACAAATTAGATTTCAGATTTCTCAAATTGCAACAAAAACCAAAGACTCATTATAGCAGAAAAAAAGGTTCTTGGGAGAAAGAAGTTGACATAATTTAGAAAATGTTAGAAAGAACCAGACATCTTTATTCAATATTATAATAATTTATATTGCACTTCATAACATAAAACTTACTTAAACATGATCTTTTCCCAGCTGTGCTTGCACCTCCTGAACATAAATTGCCTCCTCTATGGACCAGCTCAAGTTCCAAGTTTGTTCTGCAAGAAAAACATAACAGTGTTTGAATGGAACAGCATTATTCAAGCTTCCACAGACGCAAAAGAGTCACCACAAACTCCCAGCATACACTAAATAAAAGAATGCTGTGAACTAATCTTTAATGTGAGATACTGCCAAAATATGACTCAGAACAAAACAAAGTTGATCAAGATACTGCCAAATGTGATTTTAAGTGGTTTGATTAGCAAGTACTATATTAAGAGAGCTGCCTCAATTGTGATTGAAGAATTAAAAAATGTTAATTCCGAGGCTTTTTTCTGTATGCACACACTACTCTTTGATAATAAGGGAATTTATGAGCAAATCTGAAAAGACTATATATAGATTGGCTAAATTTCAATCAATCGGATATGTCTAAAAACTGTTCCCATTATTGGCAGGGCTTTTGTTTTGCTTTAAACAAACAGACGGTACAATGGATATGCCATCAAGTAACTAAGTATGAAAGCAGTATAAGTTATAATGGAAGCACTGACCTTTATAAACAAGTTAGTCAATAACAACCTTGGGGGTTAATTCTGAATGAAACACTGGTATTCACTGCAGCTCATTAGTATGAAACAGAAGTTGTGTCACTAAATCTCTGCATGTCGCATTGATGCTTGCTTTCTTAGTATTATTGTAATCTGATACTTAGGCACCAATTATTAGGCCAAATTTGATAGCTTTGTTTAATTTTGGAATTGGGTGTTTCAGTACTGCGTTATCTTTTACCCCCAAGACTTGGAGCAAACAATTTATATTATGTTCTCTGAGAGTTTGTTTCAATAAGTCAACATACCTTTCTTTAATTAAAATAAAGGAATATAATTCTATTATTCCAAAATATTATTTTACTAATTTAATCCAAAGTGCAAAGCTCAGTCTAAACATATTTTGTCCTTAACTAAAAATCAAACAATTTTAGGTTCAATATAATGTGACTGAATACATACTAAAATCTATTCTAGAATTTTAGGCACATAATTTATCTAAGCTAAGAACACCCCCCCACACACATATACTTAAGCAGAAACTACAGGATGACTATTTGATTAAAAACAAATTATTTTTTAAGAATTTCAGCTCCATCAGCTTGAAAGAATAATACGTTTTTGATACGCCGTGTTTGTTCAGATACTTTCATGTTTTTAAAATAGTAACATTTCAGAATATTACTATCCCTAAGTTTGCAGCTTATGCCACCCATTTCTGAAGGAATGCTTTAATCCTCTCTACTCAGAAAAGGCAATTTAACATTGATAATGTGCCTGCTCAGAGCTCCATCTGGTTGCTGCTGATAAGGGCATCTGTGTGACAGGGGAATTTTCCACTCCTCAGGCGATTTGCAGTGCTCACTGAACTTCTAAAAATCTACCAGCAAGGAAGCAGGGACAGGGATTTCATATTAGTGGACAAAACAGCAACTGTAGATCAGTATGTGCTAGTTCATTATGGGGATATAAAGGAAACCAGTATGTTTTATTTCTACAAACCTTCTGATAACTAATTTGTAGAACAAAATTAATGGCAGCCTTCCATTAAAACCAAGAAAATTAAGACTTAAATCAAAAACACTACCTGAATGTTCTAGGTCCAGAATTTTAAATTTCCCTTTCACCAAGATAAATACGTATATGTACAATTTGATAAAACAAACCTCAGGGACGATTCTGAAAAAACTCTTTTTGTTATGTATGAGGTGTTATATAGTACTTTTTGCTATAAGGAATGTAAGGACAGAGATTTCTGGAAACATATACTCCATCACACATAACATACCAACTCTCACCTCCCACACATCTTCATTGCCCCCAGCTCCTCAAAGACAGCAGCTTATAGTTCAGCTTTCTTGGAAATGTAAATATTAGCCTTTTCCTCTCAGACACCTCTTTCAAAACATAACTAAACTTTGGCATAAAAGTGCACAGTAGAGAAAGCTTCTGTGAAGCTGAACGCTTCCCCTTTATAAAATGTTCAATATCAGGTACAGTCCTAAATCGTTTTTTAAAAGACTAGTGTATCTTCTCCCTGATTCAAGCTCCCGTCTGTCTTGAGGATCTGGTACCATCTGCTCTCTACTGAAGAAATGCAGAGCTCTCAGTGCCTACTCTCTCATCAGTAAAGAAAAACTTAGGGCATCTGATAGAGTGGAATACAGAGTGGTCTTTGAAGGCATCCTTTACTATCACAGCTCCCTCAATATGAAGGAAAGAGGAGAAAGAAAATCCATATGAGTGACTGTTTCCTCTATCCAGAAATCTTTGCATCATTCATTGGAGCAACAAATTTTGTAGAACACTGGCTTTATCTTCCTCACTCACAGAAAAAAAACTGAGAAGATGGATTTTGCTCAGTTGTAGAGACTCCTGATTAAAAACCAGCTCTACTTCATCGCTTCTTGCAGGCTTTCATTAAAGGAAGATACTGGGGGGCGGGGAGAGGAGAGAGTGATTGCGTATTTCTCAGAATTCATATCAGGATATGAAGGAGGGGGAAGTAAAACTGCAATGCCCTTTCCAGAAAGAGAACATACTTGGATGGACCTCCTCTTTCTATTGGGACAGAAGAATCAAGTTAAGAACTACCATTTATTTCACTTCACTTTACAAAGGCAACACATATATGAAAAACCCCAGATATTTAGACACAGACTGGAAGGAAAGAACACAAGGTTCTTATATTGGTCTATACATAGTTGACAGCAAAACCAAAAGCTTCGTTTACACAGCCAATGAAAGCACAAAACCTACTGCTATGCAGTACAGAAACAGTCCTCCAAGATATTGCCACAAATGACAGTCACCTATGCTGTGAACACAGAGCTATTAAAATTAAAGCTAGGCACACATGATTTATGAATGACACGCTACACTAATCTCATAAATGTCAGCAAAGACAAGGAGGGATGCATATGGAAAGGACATAAATTTAACAAGGTAAGACTGGAGGGAAAGGGGGAAGTAGCTAAGGAGCTGCTCTTCCAGCTGTGCATGGAAATCAGGATGCCAAGACCCTGAGTGCCTCTTTTGCTAGGAAAACCGATGGGGCTAGCTCTCCTACCAGGTGGTAGAGAACTTGCTTGTAATTTCTTTACTCTGCTACCAGTGACATCCGTCTGGGTAAACAAAAGTGAAGTAAGAAAGTAAGTTGCCATTTTCCTGAAGCAGAAAGGATAAGCTGTTGTGGCGAGTGGCTACATCTTGTTTAACCAGTAGCATTCCCATTCCAGCATGCTGGCCTCCAGCTGTAAACTAGCATCTTTTAAGAAGAATGCAGATGATGCTATTTTCTGATTGAAATGGAACATGACTTAAGAAGATTAAGAGCGTTTTAATTCACTTGCAAATATAATGGAGTCAATAAAAACATCACTGCGTTCAAACGCTTATTTAAACAGGGGCTACTTATCGTCTTGACCACTTTTATCTGTATGTTAGATTAAATACCAGGAAGAAATGAGTAACATAACATAGCTGTAGATGGTCTGACCAGAAACAATGAAATGTTGCAGAATACACGAAACTAGAAATGCTAAAAGGTAACTGGTTGGTAAGGAAGAGAAGGATATAATCACCTGAAAAAGAACTGGATGGAAATAAGGAATAAACAGGCTGAATGACAGGAGTAACTTCCAGAAAGCAAGTTACTTCAGTCTGTAAATTAAATTGTGGGTAGTCCATTGTTTGGGTACATAAAATTAAACAAAACATACTAAAATTATACAAAGAAAACTCTTTCAGTCTGGGAGATGACCAGCTCACATATTTATTTCCATAAATACAAACTGTAAGGTTATATTAAAATGCCTTTTTAAAAGTTTTTTTTTTTTTTTAACCTGTAGTTCTTATGCAATTATCAGGTAGTAGAAACCTGTAAATCTGGATTGCTGAATTGAAAGGGAAGAGAAATAAACCATTTGTAGCTGATCTGCCAGGCACCCTCCCAAGTGATCTTATGAGTTATGATAACAATATAGAAGGCTGGATCCAACACTTGAAATCCTTCAGACATGGATAAATGGAAACTTGCTGACACCTGTCTAACCTAACAAGAAGAGGTGACAATGAGTACAGGTGGCATATCCTAATCTTTGTGGTCAACCATGATTTCCTCTGTCCAGCAGTGCAAGCAGCTGTTCTGTTCAAGAAATGCTGTTCTGATTCAAGGTATTTTTAACTCTTGGAATGAAAATAAAAATCTTGGGCTTAGAGTGTTAATATAAAGATCATAAAATATTGATATATTTAAAACATGCTTAGCTAGCATTTTTAAAGTTATAATTTATTCCTGGATGTAATGTTATATAACATAATTTTTGTACCTTAAATGGCATGTCAAGTTACAGTTACAAGTAATCATGCTTTTATACGGGAAACATTAATTTTGAGTCCTTTGTATTTTTGGAAGGATATTAAATTGTATTGACCAAACACATCATTGCTAAAAATCTCAACATTATTCATCCCTGTATAGCATATACCACTTAAAGTAACAATTTTTTAGCTTGCTATGTATAAATTTTAATTGTTCTTCATAATCAAGGCACAGTTAAAATACCCTGAAAGAATACAGGTAATATTTCTTTTAATAGAATTATACAATAATCTAGGTTGGAAGTGAATTCTGGAGATCAGATGGTCCAACCTTCTGTCAAAAGCTGAACCTTAGATTTGATTATCCAGAGTCCTGCCGAGCCAAGTCTTGAATATTTTCACTGTTTATATACCAAAGACACTCAGTAACTGGAGTTTATGAAACTGCAGTAAAAATGCTACTGTATGATATCACCTGCATGCTTGCACTTTCTCTGCAGTCAGCACCTTCCTTGCAGGCCTCAGTAAGTCGGGGTTTAGAAAATTATTTCCTTAATGAGTGTCTCATCTTCTTCTTATGGAAAAACTCTGCATTACAGTAAATCTGAACAGATTAACCACTCAGAGCATCTTAACATTAATGGTATAGATGGAAGGAGGGACTGTTTGATTTTCTTGGAGATGGTGTCTGTGACACTGACAGCTATAAAACTGGAATCAAGCATCACAGAGAAAATGCTGGTAGTTTTGACACTTCTTTTAGAAGCGTTATTCACATGAAGAGAGATTCCTGGTTGCCGATGTAGAAAAGGCTGCTTCTGTGATCCCCACTTATGTAAATAAAACTAATGTCTGATGGAGAGATTAAAAACACCCTGTGATTTGAAAACCAGCAATATGGCAGTGATACAGAAATAAACTCATTCTCCTAAATAGGAGAGAAAATGTGACAGTTTGGGAAAAGAAGGTTGAAAAAGAAATTAAACATAAAATTTTGATATATGGAAAGCAAAACCTTGAATAAAGAAGAAAATAAATAAGCAGAAGACAAAATGTTCTCCAGGTTTTGTGCCACTGCTGCATATACTAAAAATGAACTGAAAGGCACATCCTTCCATCTTGCATATGCCTGGCATATGAAAATCAGAAAATGTAACCTTGATGTACTAAGTACTCAAAAAGTACTTTTTGGAGAGGATGGATTTTTTTTTTTTTTTAAAGAAGAAAACTATCTGGTGAGTAATACCATACTGAGAAACACAATAGAAAAAAAATATAAAAAGAAAAAACATACCCACCTGGCTACTGAATACATAAAGAGAAAATCATTGTCAGGTGATCCAGGACTCTTACTGTAATCTGTATACTTCTTCTGTGTGGTACTTTTTATATCTTTCATTACAGACTCCATTTCTTTACTGAGATTGGTTTCAGACTATGAAGAAAGACACAAAAGAAGATTAGGTAATTTTACGTGAAGAAATGCAATAGCCGATCGTAAAGTGTAGCAGATTCGTAATTATAAAAACACATTTGCAGGTTATGAAAAAATATTCATTAAAAGCCAATATTCTCTCTCAGAAGCATTAGAATATTCTGAAAGTTATTCTGATTTGTTCTGAATAAGAAACCATCACTGTTTTGCCCATCTCCTAAGTTCAAAGATCTCACTGCCTGCATTATTTTATAGTATAATTGCACTGCACAAGTACACAAAAATAACACAAAGTACCTCCATCAAGACTGGAAGGCTAGCAAAATTTAATGGAATTAATTCTATCATTCAGAAAGACCTCATAAAGCTGTGTAATACATAAGCATCTGCAAACTGCTCTTTCTGTAAAACAAACAATCCATACCTTAAAATGTGCTTAATAGACATTCTTTAAATAGCTTCTAGTTACAAGGATATTGGTGGGTTTACATTGTAAAGAAATGATAAATGAATTTTATATTACATGACTCAATTCTATGTAAGTTCTATGGAGGGAAGTAAAAATGCACTCCATAAAAAATTATATTAATCACATTTTGTCATAGCTTTTTAATTGTTTCATTTATAGTAGGTAATGCAGTAAGTGCTGTAAATATTTTAAATTTATTGTTATGGAAAAAAATAGTATGCTATTTTCCATATCAGAAGAAAATGAAGTTTCCCAGGTTGTCGAGTTTCTAAGAGGTCACAACTGCAACATAATGTAAAAACTGAAAGGTAGAGGCAAATTAACAAGGATCTTTCTGCCTTACACTGATGCTTACTGGGAAAGTTCCCAGCTGTTCTTGAAGATCTTCCACTTCTTGTACAAGATCTTGCATACACTTGTTACTATGACTTTGCCAAAGGCTTCTTTCCACGTTGTTTCCAGGGTAACAAGGAAGAACACTGTTAGCAAACTGCCTACAGAGGGGGCACGTAAATTCTCCTTTGTCCACTGAAAAACCCTGGAGAACCTGGTCATTCTGAAAGAAAATAAAGAAGATGTAGATGACATGCGCACAAGATTATAAGTTTTAGTTTGATATTTCAGGTGTATAGCTAAAGAACTAAGTCTAAACCCCAAAACTGTAAACAAAGAATAATTGGAATAGCTCCTCATTTTAGTGAAAAAGGTCTTAACTACTAGGAACTATCTTACAATCCTCCAACTCAACTAATTTTCCTAATTTTTAAGTACTCTTTATTGTCAACAATATCCCCATAATAAACTAGAAATACTTCAATGGGGTATTTGAACATTTCACATGTGTTGTCTCTTTCTAGTAATTACCAATAAAGTTTGAGACTCCCTTGATAATATCTTTTAATTTATCAAAAGGCAATTTTATTGTCAGTCATGAGAAATATCTGAAGATACTTCTCAGAAGTACAGGCTGAAAAACCTAATCAAGTAGCCATTGGAGGGCAGTACGACAAAAAAATGGAAAAAAAAATGGACACAGAAGTACGTGTTTGGGAAGTGGGCACATCTCCCACATACTCCTGTTACTGGCAAGCACCCTTGCTTCAGCTTCATGAATTGCTTCAACGGTTTCCCACTCCTGGGAGAAGAGAACTTCTAAGTTAATAGTGATTATAATTTAAACTTCAAGCAATCAGCCCAGAATGCTGAGGCATTCTGGTGAGCCTACTTTTACATACCTTTTTAGATGTTGATCTCTGATTGTATTATGTAAAAATAAATGTTTTATCCAGATGAACACAAGTCTATATAAATTGTTTTAATACTAAGAATGCTAGGAATAGTCAAAATTATTATGCACTATTCTAGGCATTAGCAATATATGTGAGGATTGAAAGTTCACTTAAATAATCTAGAAATCTCCAAGAATACAATGAGATGGAATTTAAAGTTTATTTCGAGTTTAAGGGAGAATCCACCAGAAAAGGGACTTCAGTGTCTCTATGATGCAAAAGATCACTTTTCATGGTAGAATCTAATTTTACAGAATTTTGGAAAGCACAGATTTTACTTAATTATCTTGATGCCACAATTACCCCTGAAACCATCTTTACAGTCATATGGAAAAGAACAAGTCATCATGGGATCCAATAAAGGTGGTACAGCTTCCGATTTCTCTAGAGGTAAATTTCACAGTATGACCAATGCTGATTCTAAAAATACAAAGCATTGCTCATGGTTTCTCTCAAAATGGAAACAAATTAATAAAACTTATGAAAAAATAACACTAAAGAAATATCACATAAAGTGTTCTTGAATAAAAAAGGAGTTTCAAATGCAACAGTCATAATTTAGTCTTTATTACACTAAATAACACAGAAAGAAATGATTGCTTAAGATCTACCACTGCTGAGCTTGTGATAACATTCTATGGTGCCATTCAGAAGATCTGCAATTGGGCTGCAAGAGTTTGAGGGGGGAAAAAGAGGTCAGCAACATCAGTGGAACACTAACTTGTTTACTGAGACCATGTGAAAATACGGATGTCTTTTCTAGGCAGCAATTTCTGAAATTTGACTAACAAACTGTATTTTAAAACCGTATGTAGCACTAATTTGTCAACAGTATATTCTGCGGAGAAAAAAGAAAAATAATGCATAATTCATAAGAGTTAAACTATTTTAACTCATTTCTCTAAACTGTATGTATATACATAGCATATGCCATACATAACTGGAGATAAAAATCTAATTTTTGTAAACTTTTTGTAACTGAATTTTCATATTAGGAATGAACCAAAATTAGAAAATCAGGGATTAACCTAAACCACAAGTTTATATTTGTAAAATTCCCCTCTCAGTTCTTCTTCAGTTTCTCTGTAATTTCTATCACGTTAAGCATGAAAATCTATGACAGAAATGAAAAGTGTAAGAAATGCTTTACCTGAATATGCACACCAGAAAAAAAAAACAACCCAAAAAAACAGTGATTTAATTTTTTAAGAACAGGATTAATTTAGTCAAGTATTTTTTTCTGATATATCAGAATAACTGAAAACAAAGTACTTTTGTTAATAATGTCAAGATATAATAAAAGATTTAGTATCTACAGTTCTTGAAACATCTTGTCCATTCATGTGAACCCAATCTTTCATCCTCTGAATTGAACAGTACAAATCCAATTGACTTCACTAAGAACAGTTCAGATCCGAATAAAAAAGATAATCTTTAGTTTTACTTACCCGTAAAGATTCCATGTAAGATTTGTGACAATCTATGTGTAAAGTGTGACCACAAGTTTGTACATAAACACCTCCTTCCCAGCCTATTGACACTGCTTGCAGACAGGAACTCTAAGACAAAGCAAAAACAGTAAGAAAAAAGAACAATAATATATATAAAGGTATTTACCACAACTTATTTTAAGATTTAAAAACATATATTGTTTTTTATTTGCATGCTACTTAAAGACATGCTGTGGAAATAAAGAAAAGTTTTATTTTATAAAGTATTTATTTATGCTAATTTAATGGCTGACATTATGCTATTCTTTCCAACAAAGAGCCAAACACTTAAGTTAAACTTCTGCTCTTGTCACTTAAGATGACTTCTTTAAAGAACCTCTTGTATTATAGCATGAAGACAGCTCTAACTCTACCATCTGTTCCAACAGTGCAAGTTATCCCATGTCCAATGGCAATATACTGCTCCAATACATTTCATTCAGTTTTGTACGTAACCAAAATAACAAGATCAAAGTTATACAATTAAACCCCAATCTGCTATTAAAATTCAGTGTTAACACTTCGCGTTTCTAATGCGCTGTTCAACAATATTGTATATAACACATCGTAAAGGGAAAAGAGAACAAATACTTGCTTAGTGAACTGAGTTTTATACTAGGATTGTTTTGAAAACATTGGCCCTATTCAAAGACTGCACTTACAGCCCACATGTCAAAAATAAATTTACCTCACTGGTGGTTCTTCAGAAAATAATGAACTGTAAAAAACAGTCACCACATAATGAGGACTTCTAGAAAATTCTCTTGCCAAATACCTAGCTATAGTCAGTCTAATTATTAAATCTCCATTTCTTAAAAAAATAATGTCATACAGCTTGAAATGTACATTCTGGTTATATATTTAAAGAACAGAAAAAGATTTATGGCTACCAGAATTGGAAGACAATTTTTAGCATAGACTCACTAAAATGGTCTTAATGTATGATGTAAAACCAGGGTACTGTGAATAACCAACTCTGATAGTTGCATTTTCTAAGGATGTCCTAGCATCTCTTCCTCCCCCCCGCCCCGCATATGAGCAGGAAATCAAAACAAAATTACAAATTCTAACTACAAGACATGCTCCTATTTACCTTGCCTCAACCCGCCATTCATAATGTGCTATGACCCTCTCAGGCCACAGAACAAGAAAAACTTTCTCCCTGGTTCCTGCATCATTTAGTAGACTGCACTATTAGTAAGGCACGGTCATTATGATATACCTGGATAAGCCCCACAGGAAAAACGTTTCATTCAGGAAAAGCACTACTTATTGCATGTATTTAACGAGGCTACTTAGTAGCATTTGCATAAGAAAAAAACCCAACCCCAAAGTGTTTGCAGAAAGGCTTTACTAGATTATTCTTGAGCTCAGAAATAAAGGTGATTCCAAAGCAATCCATAGGCTTGAGATGGAGCACACCTATATCAGGTTATTGATTACAGAGTACTATGTGATTCTGAAAATAGTCCTATCAATCTAGTATATAAAGTTTTATCTCCTAATCCTTAGCCATACCTCTCCATATTAAAAATAATCACTTTCAACGATTTTTCCTTTCATGGGCAAGAACTCTACTCTCTGACTGACAGTAAGCATCAAATTCCAGCTAAGAAAGCAGAAAAGGAATCTCCATGGAGAGAACTGGCCTGTTTTGCCCAATCTGTATACAGCACATAGCTTTTGAATGTTCTTTTTTCTTTTAGTAGAATAAGATAGTGTTTTATAACTTAAAATTTTCACATTGAAGTGAAATTATTTTCTTGCCTCCTGAAATCTGTTGTTAGAGGAAGGACATTTACTGGGAAGGACACAGTTGATAAACAAAAGGACTTCTTACTGCTTAGCTCAGCTGAACAAGACGCTCAAGACACTAACAGATGTTTCCATTTTTATGCCAAAAGAAATCTAAGGATTAGTTCTTTCATGCAGAGACATTTTTTAGCACAGTAGTGACCTGGAAACTTGAAAACAAAAATAGCTAATTTAACTAATGTTTGAATCAGGACTGGAATTTTTGAATGCAGGATGCATTTGCTCATCGCATTACAGTACATTTTAGATTAATTTGTTGGTAGTGTTACTGCACAAAAAGGGAAATATAGAGTTCAATGAGGTAAGTTTTTGAGTAACATTTTGCTTGGAACTCCTTTCATTTCTAGTATGCAAACATGTAAACGTAAAGCTACAGTATTGCTTCAAATTTTTAATCACTTCTGTAGGAAAAAAAATTCATTAACTATTTGAAACAATAAAGAAACATTATCAATGTCAAAAGAAGAAAAGCTTGTCCACAGATTCTTTCTCAACTAAAATATCTTTTGTTCAGTAATAATTTCCTGCTTACATCTTGAAAAGTTTTACTTTCTAGCAAGGAAATGTATAATAATTGCCTTAGGAGAAGGTGCTTTTCTGAAAACATTGCCTGATTTTTAAAACTATATCAAAACAATTATGAAGTTTACTCTAAAGTACTACTCTACATAAGCAAGCTTGGTTGCAAGTTGGCAAATTTCAATTATCTGTGGATGACAGATTATGAAAAAGCTAGCAATTGTGTCAGAATAAAAATTGCCAGTTTTTCCTCTTTTAAAGTTTCTAAAGGCTGATTATTTAGCTAGATCTGCCTAAGAGCTGGTATGTCACCTGGGACTAGTCTATAGGAGCTAATTTAGGGTCTTAAGTTACATAGTCTTCTCCCCAGAATGATTTCTCGGAACAGTTATGTATTGTCTTACATGGCTGTTTTATGCACTAGCAAGGAAAGTCACAGGCAGCACTGTCTACGACTGAACAAATCCTGTTAAGGAACAAGAATTGGCTCTCAAAATTAAGTATGAAAAGCTGTAATGGGGCTTTGTGAAGCAATGCAAAACTCTGCTTGGAACAGCTAACAGATCTGCAAAACAGAAAATAACATACCAATTAATGTAAAATTGAACTTCAGTAATGTTGTGCAGAGTTGAGGATTCAGCAGAAGAGGGTGAAGTCTTCTGCTGGTCCCTCCTTCCCATCCACTCATCCTCCCCTTCTCTGTAGTGGCTCAGAAAACTGTTACAGGTTAAAACAACTCTTTCCGCTTACTCTGTGCTGCCAAAAACATTTTTAACTGATTAAGAATAATTCCTTGATCAGGTTTTCTGAATGGCCACAAGAAAACTAGTGGTTTGAAAGTAGTACCTAAGACAGCAAACCCACATCTCAATAGTGTGGTCACACTGAACTGTGAAGTATCTTCTTCTAGTGAACATCTGCATGGATATTTAATGACTATATAGTCTGTAGATATACTAAATGCCTATGCCAAAAATATAACGAGGGAAAAGCCAGACACTAGTTAAAAATAAGGACCTTATCAAATGTAAACACTTCGTAACTACTGCAACATGACAAAGTTCACTAAATGTAGAAATGAAGCTAGGAGGACTCTATGTTGTCATTTCATTTACCTTTTTACACAAATTTTTCCTAAATGGTAGCATTGTTCATATGAAGTACTTACATCTTTAAAGTATCGCTGTAAAGTTGTAAGCCTCACATCATGCAGTGCTGCACACGTATCCCAAGGGTATATTTGCTCCTCTTCAGTAGTTGGTAGTTTCTTTGGCTCAGTGCTATTGCGGCATTGTCCCAACACTGTATAAAGAAAATAAGCAATAAAGAATGCAACAGATAATATGCTAAACAATTAAGAAAACAATCAGGAAATTCTGGTTTGTTACTACAATTTGCTTTGTTGATGTTAAATAGTAAAAAAACTATTAAAGAAACTACTGAAATTAGTGCTTTTGCACTTGTGCATAAAGTACATACATGTACACAAACACACATACATACATCAATGGCTATTTTGTTTTCTTTTTTTTTCAATATCTGTTTTCCTGCAGATCTACTATATACAGTTGGGTTTGCAAAAGCTGACAGGAACTAGGAGGGAATGAAACTGTTTGCTCTTTTCTCAAACGTTTAAAAATTTTCTCAGTACCTTAGACCCACACATATGCCTCATAGAGGACCATCCACACAAAAAGGGAAGACTCTCCCTTTCCAGGCTCCATGAAACAGAACAGTATTTATGCACTCATATTAAAAGCTGCAGAAACATTGCTTGCCCAACAAGTCACACATTCATACCTGAGGATGCTTGTAATAGTACAACTAGCCCTGTAGGTCTGTCTTCAGTAGAAGGACCACTTTGTCCACAAATAACACAATCATATATTGCCTCAGAAACATGCTGTTCTGATGTAGCTACCTCCATGGCTGTATCAGCATCTGGTGATTCTAAAAAAGCATAAGAAAATTGATATTAAACAGAGGGAAAGAAATTCAATTGCATCTGCATTGAGGTAGTGATGGAAAAGCTCCAAAACAATCTCTCTAGTTTATCTACAACTAAAACATTGACCATTACTTGCAATTTACCTTGCTGCCTCAAACAGAAAGACACCTGCACAATGAAGTACAAGTTTTCCCATATTCAAAATTATAGACAGTGGAATTAAATATTTAGTTGAAGTTTTCCATTAAACTTGATCTCTTTAAAACTTCTATAAAACAGATATCTAATTTCTATTTCATTAAATACTATATTGAAAATTCTGTTGAACAGAGAGATGAAGGGCAATGAAATGAACCTTTACTATAAGGGGATTGAGTGCTCCCTCAGTAAGTT